CAACATCAGCCTGGCCCAGCACCGGCCCTGTCCCCTCCAATGCATCCCGAGACCCCAGCCAAGGCGCTGAGAACAGCCGTTCGTTACCAATGCCGGTTCCCCGGGTCGCGCCGCCGCCAACTCCTCTAGGAGCCGAAGCCAAGCTCGGCCGCCACCCTCCTCCTTCTCCTCCTCCCTGCCGTCTGGGCCGCTAGGAATTGCCGCCGCCTGAGCCGCCTTCTCCTCCCCTGGCTGTAGTGGTTGCGCTCGTCCCTGCCACCTCCTTTAACTCAGCAGCCGACACAAGATGGCGGCCACTGAGCGCGAGGCCGGAACAAAACCTTGGGCCCCACCTCCAGGAACCCGGATGCAAGCAGACCGCGCCCATTTTGGTCCCTTCTCCTCTGTGACTCATTCGAAGAGGAACAGCTCCACCTGGTGGCTACCACGGCACTAAACTAGGAAAACAGGTATGAAAACAGGTAAAACAGGCCACGCCCCATTGAACCTGAATAATAAACAGTGCTGCAGCCAGGCTGCCATGGAAACCAAGAAAAGGCATCTAGTCCACACTTCCTGATCATGAATTATGCATAAGGCCAGGTGGTTGAAACCACCGGCAACCAGAAAGCCAATGTTAAAATATGGAAGCCACACCCCACTGTTCATGAATAATTAATTATCTCGCAGCAGCCCGGAAGCCAAGGAGACCAAGGCCACATCCTTCATGAATAATGCACGAATCTCAGTGGGCTGGAACAAAAGGGACAGGTCAGCCTATTGCTTCATCTAATACCCTGTAAGCAGGGAAATAGGGCTACTAAGAGGAAAACACGTTGTCGCCCCTGCTCATGAATAATAAATAACAATGCTGCAGCCGCTCAACCTGGAAGCTCAGGGAGGTCAAGAAAGGTCCCACACTTATTATGAATTATGCATAAGGCTGGACAGACCGCCCTGCCCAGCAAGTAGGAATTAGGTACTCCAGCATGGGAACATGGCCACTCCTTCCTGTTCATGAATAATTAAAGACCATGTCATAGAGCCAAAGGGGAAACCCAGGGGAAGTGTAGTTGCTTCCTCCCCACCCCTGACTAACTGCTCATGAACCAGGGCTGCCTTGGTCTGGTCCAACCAAATCCAGACTCACTGCATGCCTTTGACAGGTGCCTCAGTTTCCACAGCTGTAAAATGGGGACAGTAATCTACCTCATAAAAGCAATATGCATTATCAAAATCAGAGAATATGAATTATGGAATGAGTTCACGGCAGTGCTGGCACAGAACACTGATAAATTTTTAAATATATATTAATACAAAGGTAATATGTAAATATAAAATTAGTTGTGGGTGAGTGAGGGTATACCCAGCCACTAGAGAAACCCCCAACTTGGGGCATTATTTTTAAAATAATGACTTAAACACCCTCCCAGAAGGACATTGGAATGCTAAAGCCACCAATGTCCATTTAATAGGTAGGAGAGACTAGAGATCACCAGAGATAAACCCCAAGCACACAATAAGAACTCAACACTGTGGAATAACAATAGACCCCATTAATAGAGATGGTGGCTCCTGTGGTGTTTCCTTTCTGTGCATAGTACCACTGATCAGGAAATAGGTTCCTTCTTGTCCTTCAGGTTCCAGCTCAAAGGTGACCTTAGAGAATTCTTAAACCCTCACAAAAATCACTCCCACCCACTGATGACTAGCTGTGTGACTTGGGGCCAGACACTTCACTTATCTGGGCCACTGTTTCACCACCCATAAAATGAGAATAGCAACCTACCTTGTCATGGAGTTTAAAATGAGTAAATATGTAGAAAAGGCTTAGAACAGTGCCTGGCACATAGTGCTATATAACTAACATTAGTAGTAGTACCATTAAATTGGGGGGAGATGGGGGATTATAGCATTTGATTAAAACTACAGACTGGAACTAGACTGGCTAGGTTTGAATGCTGGCTCGGCCACTCACTGACTGTAACTATAGGCAAATTACTTACCCTCCTGGTGTCCATTCCCTCATCTATAAAATGGGATAATAATAAGCTGCTTCCTAGGACTGTTGTGGGGATGAAATGGGCTAATAAAGTGCTAAATGCATGTAAACTAATCTGATCATCATTTTGCCTATACCCATTTTTCAGACTCACAGAAAGATTTGCCAAAGATCACACAGCTGGCAGGGATCAATGGGATTTGAATTTAGAGCCTTTGTGCATAATCTGAGATCACTGGGCTTAATGAACCATGCCTGAGGCCTGGAGGCCCCCATCCCTTCCCTAGAGGGAACGTTTAAATCCTGAAGCCTATAAGGGAAAGCTAACAGTGGGTCATGCAGATGAAGCCGTGAAAGCTACGCCCCTCATGAATTATGCACAACGCCCCTAGAAAAAGCTACAGAAAACTCGGATGCTACTCACCTTTACGATTAATCAATGAGTTCTAGTTTGCTAGACAGGCTGTAGAACGCCCCTTCAGCATGCTGATCCGCCCCTCTTGAATAATTCACAAGCCATACTTCCAGCGGACTAGGTGCAAAAGAGGCAAAAATGGACTTCCTCACAGCCCCACCTCCTCATGAATAATGGATAAAGTCGCTGCTAGGGAAGGCTCGGTGGCACCCGGTCCCCTCAGGAAGCGCCTAGGGCTCCAGCGCCCCGTCCACGGTATGGGTTAGGGGCTCCTCTCCCTACCAACTTGTGGGCCCCGACATCTCCAGTTTCTCCGCCCCGGGTACCCAAGCAGAGGGGGACCGCACCATAGAACCAGAGGTTACAAAGGCCACATATACCCTTACAATGCCACGTTGATCCCGAACATTCCCACAGTCACCAGGACCTCTCCTGAAACAAGCCGTTCCAAAATTTCGCCTTGACTTCAGGAACCTCAAACTTCGCCTAACACCTTAGGGAGCACCCCAAAACCTGCCCCAAGAACAGAGTACTCATACATGGACCCTAAGGGTCTCCTCAAACATCCCCTTAAACTCTGTCTCTGAGGGGTATATAAATCCTGCCTCCGAGGGATACTCCCTAAAACAGATTCCCACATCCCACTCCGAGTCCCCAAAGGCCACTTCCTAAGGGTCCCTCTCAAAACAGCCGCCCCGGGCCCAGAGCCTCTAAATATGCTCATTGGGGGTAATACTCCGAAACTGAGACCCCTCCCTCAAATGCTGTCCAGGCGCTTGGGGACACGTGCCCCAACTCACCCCCTGCGTCGAGCGGAAGCCTCGCCTTCCTGCTGGAGATGAGCCGACGCCACGGGGCAACGGAAGATTAAACCAGCTCCTCCGTCGCACAAGAAGAGCCAGAGTTTGCGCGGAGCTCGAAAGCGCGGGGTCTGGAGTGCCTCGGTTGGAACGTACCACAGACGCTTAACTAGAGGGGCGTCTGCCTCGGCTCCCGTGCCAACGGGGGCCCGTGTCAGACCCAAACACCCCTACGGGTTGTGGTCCTTCCCGAAAGCGCGAGGCATGCTGGGGGTAGTAGTCCGGCTCGACCGGTGTTTGGTGCACGTGGTGAGCATCCGCGGCCAGGGTTTTGGGAAAAGTAAACCTGAGCTGTGGAATTGCGGGAGTGGTGCTTTGGCAGGGTGGGAAAAGGCAGCGGAACACTCTTCCATCAGACCTCTCCCTTCTTATTTATCCTTTCCCTCACCTCAGAGAGACCTGCCCTGATACCCCATGAAGTCAGGAATTGCCTCTCGGAGAAGGCGGCATGTGAAAAGTGAGGAAGCCAGCCACGTGTAGCATGGAGGAAACAATTCCGGACAGGGAAACCATTCCGGACAGAGGGGACATTAGGTGCAGAGCCCTGAGGTTAGAAGTTCTTGGCATGTTTGAGGAAGAGCACGGAAGTCTGTAGCTGGAGAGGTGTGAGGAAGGGAGAGCACTGTGAGATAAGATGGAGGACATGTCAAGAAGGCATTGTAAGCCAGAGATGTTTGGTTTTTATTCTAAGATCCATGGAGAGTTGCAAAAAGGGTTTTGATCAAGGCAGTCACATTATATATGTTGGTGAGAGAACAAACTAAGGAGAAAGGCAGAAAAAACGGTGGAAAAGCTACTGCGAGTCCAAGAAGTGAGGAGGGGATCAGACTAAGATGGCGAAAGTGGCGGAAGTGAGGAGGGAGCACTCTAGTCAAGATACGGAACCTGCCCTGGCTGGTGGCTCAGTTGATTGGAGCATCCTCCAAAAGGTTGCGGGGTTGATTCCCAGTGAAGGCACATGCCAAGGTTGCAGCAGGTTCAATCCCCAGTTGGGGCGCTAAGCAACTGATGGATGTTTCTCCCTCACATGGCTCTTTCTTTCTCTCCCCCCTCCCCCTAAAATCAATACAAACATATCCTCTGGTTAGGATTAAAAAAATTTAAAAATATATGGAACTTTTTCATTACTCCAGAAAGCTACCTTTCCAGTGAATAACACCCTCTCCACCTCCATCCTACTCTGACTGCTGTCACCATAAATGTGTTCCATGTGATTGAAAACTCCACAGAAATGTAGACTCAGTCTACAATGTTTTTGTCTTTTCCCCCCTCAACATGTTTGTGAGGTTCAATCATGAAGTTTGTATCAGTATTTTGTTCATTTTTATTGCTGAGTTGTATTCCATTACAGTGGTACCTCGGTTTTCAAAGGTCTCTGTTGAGGAACATTTCAGGTTATGAACACTGTAAACCCGGAAATGCCTGGGTTTTTAAACACGCCTCAGAAGTCGAACATGCCACACAGCTTCCGCTGAGGGCAAGATCCTGAGGCCTAGCTGTTGGCTGTTGATCCCTTGGTTTTCGAAAGTTTCAGAACTTGGTCTTCCGGAATGGATCACATTCAAAAACCAAGGAACCAGTGTACATGAATAGACTATAATTTTCCCCATTCTCCTCTTGCTGGATGTTTGGGTTATTACCAGTCTTTGGCTATTATGAATACAGCTGCTACGAATACATATATGAGTCCTTTTGTTGACATGTTTGCATTTACTTGGGGTAAATATCTAAGAATGGAAATGCTAAATCATAAGGTAAGTGTATGCTTACCTTTATATATGAAACAGCCAAAGTTTTCCAGACTGGTTGTGCCATTTACTACTGCTGGCCATATATGAGGACTCCTTGTTGGGGCCCTATGGTAACAACCCTGGAGGATGGGGACAAGGATGGATCCAAATGGTACTAGTGGGCATCCCTGGGGCCTGGGATTGGCAGGCCAAGCTGCTCTCTCTCCACCCCTTGGGGTCATCAGTCCCCCGAGGGCACAGGGCCTACTGGTGCCAGATTGCTTACTGTCACCTACTTGGAGATGCCCTAGGGCATTGTCCGCAGATCCAGGGAGAGCCAAGTGCTATTTAGTTTTGCCATTTTAGAACAAATGCCCTGCGGGGTGGCAAGGCCAGGGGATAGGGTATTCAAAATCCTGGTTCTGACCCAGGGGGACTTCAAGCCCGATGGTGCCCTGGTGGTGCTGGATTTCCTAGCATAGCATGACTTTCTGGCCCTGACAATGATGAAAGGCTGTGACCAGAATCTTGTGGGTTGGGGCACAGGCCAGAACTCCATGTTCTGCCTGCCCCCCAGCCCCCACCGAGCTGGTAGTTACCATGAACCAGACACTGTGAATGCCACCACTGCCACCCACCTCAGCCCCTTCTCTGTGTGGGCCACAATGCTGGGACATGAGAAACAGACATGCAAGCTGTGGACTTTTCAGCTTTTATTATAAAAAGAACATGATCCTAGCCCAATTTTCCAGCAAGTCACCAACTCAAAGTCTGACTTGGTCAGGGCCTGTCTGGCTGGGGAGTGGGCTAATGGACAGGTGCAGGGCCCTGCGCAGACCACTAAACATTTCATTCTCCCCTGCCCGGGCTGGACATGAACAGATGTGGAAGTAGCTCTCGCAGGTCCTCACTGGGCCTCATTGAAGCGGGTCACCATTGTCTTGTGCAGTGTTTCCTTGTAGGACTCGGTTGAGGTGACCCCATAGGAGCTGCCTCGGGCACCCAAGCCGGAGCCCCGCACCCGTGTCTGGGCCTGTGTGAGGAAGGCAAGCTCTGTCAGGGGGGATGGGAGCAAGGCAGGGCTGCAGCAGAGAGAACTGGAGGATGGGGATAGGATCATGGGAGACTCACCTCAATGGGTGTCACAATGCCCTGCTTCTTGCGGCCCAGGCCACTGCCCTCTTTCCAGCCCATGGCCTGAAGCATGCGACTGCCAATGTTGTCACTGCCCAGACCATCCCGCGTGGGCTGCTCAAAGTCTCTGCAGGAGAAAGTAGTACAGCATGAGTAACTGGCCTACTGGCCCCAGGCCCCCCACCTGGTCCTGGGCACTCACACAGAGGCTGCAGACATGCCACCGTACTTCCTCCTCTTGGGCTCTGGTGGCTCAGGGATGCCGTACTTCTCTCTACGTTCAGCTGCACGGTCCCGGTACTTCATTTGCTGAAAGTTTGTGTGTGAGAGAGAACGGGGGAGCTGGTCACTATTGGTAGGATATATGGACATAGATGGGTGGTGGGGGGGAATCCCATGGGAGCTGGATCTAACAGGTATGAGGTTAGACAGATCTAGGTTAGTCAAGCAGGATATTGTGGGTGTGAGCAACCAGCATGGGAGAACTAGGAAAAAGCCTCACAGGCACAGGACATGAGATAGCTGATGGCAGCCAGGCTGTACTCAGCTAAGGAACTTGAGCACCAGCTGCCTGAGGGGACATACACTTGGCAAGGGACAGAGGGGATGGAGCCTGGGAGTGGGTCGCATCTCACCTCCATGTCATTCTTCTCAAGTGCTTCTAGTTCATTTTCTGACAGGTGGGCTCGCCGGTGAATCTCAAGGTTTTGCTGCAAAAGGACAGAAGGAGTGAAGCAGCTGGACTGGGCTGGGCTGGGCCAGGCCAGACCAAGTTTCCCTGCCAAGCCTCCCTCAGTCACCTTGTGAAGCCCAGAGAGCTGCTGGTGCCTGATGAGCGCCTCCTTGCTGGGGAACTGGCGCCGGCAGAGCAGACAGGCCAGCTTCTGCCAGTCAGTGAGCTTCTCTTCCCGCTCTGGGCCCCCTCGCTCCTGCTCTTCCTCACTGTCACTCTCCCCACTGTAAGCTGCCACCAACCCTCGAGGTGGGCTCTGTAGAAGGTGGGAGGGGATGGGAGGTCAGGCCTGGCAAGATCAGAGCCACCTCGCCCTCTTTCTGCCCTGGGCACTCACTGGGCGGTCATCGCTGGCCAGTTTTGGGAGATCCATGCTGGTATGCTGTCTCTCAGCTAGTGCTCCCTGAGGTGGAGGGACACAAATTCAGGGATTCCACATTGGCACTGGAGGGATGACAAGATGGGGGTGAGGGGTGTGGATGGGTGGCCATAACACACCTTCTTCTCCAGGATGGCGTAACCGGCATCTGCAGTGGCTGACTCCCGCCTTTCATCATCTCGCAGGGAGCTGATGGGCTGGAAGCTATTTTTGAAGTTTTCTTTTTGCTTGTTGAGACTGCGGGCCCAGCGTTCCATGTCCTTGGCAATCTAGGGGTGATGGTGGGATGAGGCTCTCAGAAACCCACCAACTCCATCTACTGCCCACTGCCCCTGAAGCAGCCTGCCCCATCCTTCCCTGCACCTCAAGCAGAGGGTAAGAGAGGCGGTGGTGAAAGTTCCCATTTCTCTGTTATATTGTCATCAAGCCCCTCTCTGGCTGTGCCCCCATTCTCCTGACAGGCACCTACACTATTATGTTCCCAGTGTGTGTTCATTTCATCATTCTAAAATGCATAGGATGGTTGTGTCTATAATTTCTATTTACATGTGTGATACTTTGCCACATTCCATATTACATTGTTTTCCCCCCATGCACAACACCATTTTTAGAATTTACCAGATCATCAAGTTCTTGCTTCTAAGGGCTGCACTCAGACTGTCATACTCTTCCTCTACAGACGGATACTGAGGTTCCCTCCAACTGCCCACTACACAGAACAATGCAATGGCTGTTTTCCTGCCCGCCCCCTGCTGGGCCTGAGAGAAGTTCTCTGGAACATATCTATATGTAGACATGGACACATCCCCATGAGTGCCCACTCAAAAGGAGTGAACCCAAAGGAGTATGCATGCCCACACCAGCCCACACTCCCACCAGCAGTGTGAAGGTGCCTGCTAGGGGACAGGAAAGCTGACAAACCTCATGTGGATGGCACTGGCCACCTCAGAGAGGTGTGTGGCCCTGCCCCGTACTGAGGAGACTCCCTGGCTCAAGGTCACACAGCAAAGAACGAGCTAGACCAGGAGCCTGGTCTCCCTTGAGCGAAATTACTGCCCACATACACATCCAGCTGCACCCTGCTCCTTCAGCAGCAGAGGTAACAGATGACAGAAATGCTGTCATCAAAAGACATTGACAGCCAGCCAGTGACTGCTGGACCTCGATGTTCACCTGTTGGGCAGTCTTGGTCTTGTGCTTCTCCTTCTTCTCTTTGCCCTCCTTGGAGGGTGCCCCTGTCTCCTTATGCCCGTCAGCCGACTGCTCCAGGGCAGGAACGTAGGTCCGCCTTTCCCCATCCCAGTACAGGTACTGCTGGCTCTGAGCATTGTAGTAATACTGGGGTGGTGGTAGGGGGTGGAGAGGGGGCATGAGGGAGGACCTCAAGAAGGGAAACTGCAGACCCCACCCACTCCCTGGACTGCCCCATCACCTGGGAGTTGGGATCGTAGTAGAGGCCAGTCTGAGGATCATAGTAGTAGCCTGATGTCTCATCATACTGGTAGGTGGAGACGTCAGGAACAGCTGGGGGATAGTAAGGGGGGAGTCAAGCCCCTCCCTGCTTTGTTAAGGAACTCCCCACCACTCACCCGTAGGCCAGGGCTACTCACGGTACTGGCTGTAGGACTCCTGGGCAGTGGGGCTGGTGGCTGGTGGCAGGGCAGAGCTGGGATGGGTGGGGCTCTGGAGCTCAGATTTGAGCACAGCAGGTGACATGATGGTATATGACTGGTTATGGGGCCAGACAGGGGAAGAGGGCTCAGTGTCTGCTAATGCCCAGTGTGCTGCCCCCCCCCCCC